GCAGCAAACAATGAGATCGTAACGATTACGAGTCTCCATTCTCTTCTGTACATGATCCTCCGCTCTCAATACTTTTGAACAAAGTATACTACGATTTTTTGATCCTATGCTATCACGTAGATAACGGACGGTATACCGTAATCCACGTGAATTGGCCAATTATCAAATAGGAGAAATAATGTGTAGACAGCTCTGCCGCAAATATTTTCCATTGAACGCACAAAGTGCGGACATAAAGTAGTACATCGCGACTCGCATACCGCTAATTGCGCGCGAATCGTTAAATTTGACAAGTCAGTATTGCAAACGAGATCAGTTCGGTTTGATCGTATTTTGTTAACTGTTTGCAAAGCAGCACACTACGGATGAACGAGCGGACGATCTTGAACTTAGCTCGCCGCGCGATACTTCGGAGCAAACGAAGCGTGCTACGAGGAGGAGGTAACGAGCGTCGTGTGAAGGTAAGTGGTTTTCAAAAATCGCGTTGAAAAAGTAAAACAAATAATATGACACGAAGCTAAAGTAAGGCGCGGACTTGTCGCACGTAAGAGGGCAGAAACCGGTTACGGAAAAGAGGCTGCGACGGCGTATACGTGATATTCCGATTCCGCGCGGACCTACGACAGCGACGATCGCGTTAACAGGTCGATCAACCGTCTGTTAATAGTTTCTTATTCATCTTCCGCTGCGTCCTGCCTCTTACTGCTGCCTCTTACGTAAGATTTCCCGGTGTCGGATCCCGGTGTTCAATGCGTCCGCAATCTTAACAGCGTTCAGCGAAGTGACGACGAATTCTCATTTATCTCGGAACAGCAGACGCGTTTGGCACGGAAAAAAATGTAAATTTGATGTAACGAAATGTCTGGTGAAATATGAATGAGCTAGAAGTGCGATTGATGTTACCAGAATTTTGTTCAAGTTACAAGATTCCTTAACTTGAAGAGTTGCAAGTTCTGGTTAACCAGAAATCTTATTAACTTGAACAGAATTTTGGTAACGTCAACCTGAATTTCTGGCTCGTCCATATTTCATCAGACATTGGGTTAATTCAACTGAACCTTTTTTTCCTTGTGAGTTATTATCAAATTTTAGTATTGCGAAAACTTGTTTGAGTCGCGGCTCACTAAAAATTGTGCACCGATCGCGAAGTCGTTTGCGAAGCACGCAGTCACACGTGCCAATCGAGAGTGGTTGCGGCGGCGATATCATCCTCCTCCGCAATTAACTTTTCAATTGCTATAGGCACGCACAAGAAGATGCATACTGCATTCAAGTTGAAGCAAATGTTATTTGTTAAAGTGGCCCATAGGTTTATATATCCACGATTTTTCCGTGAGTTTGTTATAAGCATCAAATTTATTTAATCCTTTCATAATTGTCGATTTTTATCTCAGCTTCTTTTAAAGAGGAAGATTTTCTACATATAGAGAATATTTTTAAATTTAATATTTTCGATAAAATATCCCTAGTAGAAATCTATTTTACATTTTAGTAGAAATCAGTTTTACTAGACACCTAATCAGTTACTGTCTAGTATTACTGTATTTCATAGTTGTATCGAAACTGCGCAAAAACTGGAAAGAAACTGAACATAGTTTTATTAAGTTTTATATCGCATACACATGTGCATGATAAAAATTACATTGTATAGAGACGATCTATGTAAAGAGTAAGTGAACGCGTAGCAAAACATAGAGCAAGGAAGTTGGAGGAAATCTGGAATTTAACAAAACAACACGCTATAGCAGAAGTGACGAGTAAGGTTAGAGTTGAAAGTGAGCAAACGACAAATGGGCTATATATTAATGATATAGAATTGTATTGCGACAAAAACACATTAGACTATCTTAGAAAGCACCTTAGATTTCCTGTACAATTGTGAACATAAAGGTTGTCCGACTTTTTGTTAGCAACGCAACCTAAAAATTATCCAATGAGATAATAGTACCTAAGAAATACATTTTCTTATATTGGACTATTCGGTTATATTCTGAAACTTATTACAAAAAATCAGACATTCTTTATGTCTACGACTGTATTGACTTTTATTAAAAATTAAAATTGTACAATAAGCAAGTATGCACACAATATCCATTATTACTAGCACAAAACTGTCCATTTTATGAGCAATAAACTTGCTTATTAATCGACTTAATAGTTTCTTTGTCCAATTATTGTTCAGTTCTCAGTCAATAAATGAGTTCAAATATCGCGCATTTTTTGTGCACAGTAACTGCAAACAAAGCGTTACATCTTGATTGGGATCCCAACAGTTTTATTCGTCAGTTACTGGACAAACGTTAATATAACTGTCCAGTAACTGCTTACAAATTGCGTGAAATTTTTACCAGGGATATTTAACTAGAAAACTCTTTTCAAAAAATCTAACTTTTAGATATCATACTAACAATGTCTACTTAGACTCAGAATATCAATGGTTCAAAGGGGGAGTCAATAATTGGATGGTTTATTCTAAACTGGCAAATTGATGATAGGAGTGAGAACATTAAAAAGCTATAAACTGCTCGTGAAATTCAAAGTTGGCCAAAATGAAAAAAATATGATCTAAATATTTTTTGTACTTCTACATTTGTGTCAAATTAGGGAGAAATCGGAGTGTAACTTTTGGGTAGGTTTACTTGTTGAGATAAAAACATGTGAAAAATAAAAAGATATTTATTCGGTGGGCATTAATAACATATTTACTTAAATATGAATTCTTTTATTTAAACAAAAGTGAGATATGGAATAATTAGTTGTGCTTTTTCTTGGGAAAAGCTCTGACTTTAAGAAAATGTGTATTTTTTATGTGTATTTAAAAACAATTCTTCCTTAGTATAAAAAATATGTAAAAAAATATGTATATTAATATTCACTGATAAAATATGTTTATCTCTTGGATAGTTTTTCCTTCTGCGTGTCTCAATGTTCTGTTGTGTATTTTAGCGTCAATAATAAAAACAAGACTTCATATAGTGCAAACAAGATAGTCTCGGTGCGTTGCGTTGGCCTATAAGACATTATTTTCTTCACCGATCGACTTATAACATTCCGAAGTATGCCGGCGATCGTTTGGTTCTGAAGTGTTCCGTAATGAAGGGATTAACTGCGCGGTATTCTGAATAATGGAGCGCGAATAATGTTTTCGCGAAAAACAAATGCCTCGTACCACGTATAACACGTGGCGTTCACGTTATGACGAGATAATTCGTGTTCGTAACGTTACCCGTGATTATCGGCGACGAAAAATCGAGCGGTCGTCGCGGGTGGGTGAGTCGGAAGATATGGCGTTTCCAGCGATTGGAGAAACACACCTGTGCGTGATTATCTCGCGGGCGGGAATGTCGTGAATTTTTCCCGGGACATACATCTCTCTCATCGGACGTGAAAACTCGTCCGCGTCCGTTCGACGGAAGGAACGCGCGTCACATCGCGGCCGTGGAAACGCGTTCGCTCCCATTCCGCGAGTTCGATTATGGGACACATCGTCTCGGAAATGTGACTTTGCCGGCGCCACAGCACCGAAAATGAAATGCAGAGCGTGTAATGGCAATTACGGTGCGGTTCACCGCCGCTTCTCTAAGCAAACTTCCAAGAGGCATTCTCGTAAAATCTCGATTGTCTGGTATTAGCCATTAGACTGACAACTTGCTCGGTAATACGGCTGCGACGTACCGTTAAGACCATTTTTTTGCTCAGCCAAAAATAAGGTTACGTGCACTCTTCTTTGGGGCCTCTTGATTGGATCTATTCAGTCGATCGCCCGAGATAATTAGACTTGGAGGCTTCTGCCGCGGCTTTGCGTCGCGATGTCCTTCTTGACGTAAGTTGCGCTCACCAGGTGGACGGTTTTCGCAGGAACAACAAAGAAGAAGCGCAGGGCGAAAAGAAGGAGAGAAAAATTATATATTATTATTGAAAGAATTATGCAAATTTCGTACGAGAGAGTATTACGAACACGTAACTGTCACACATCGATGGCGATGAAACTTCACGAGAGTTAAACTCGGAAATCGAATTTATCGAGAGTCAAAGTTAAAAGTTCAGAAATACAGGACAATATAAGAGAAGGAAATATAAGATAAATTTTTAAAATTACATACGATTTTTATTGTTTCCACAGGTTTTTCTATAAGATATTGTTTAGGATTTTTTAAAGTATATTTTTAAGTAAAATGAGATTTGAAAATATGACATATATTTGTTTTTTGCACGATTTTTTTATAAGATCTTTTGGTTATAATTGTTTTTATACGAGTTTTATAAAACTTTTTGTTGGGATTTTAATTTTATATTAAATTTTATTAAATTTTGGCTTTTTTATGCGGTTAAGATCTATTTCTTAGGATTTTTATTAAATATGCTTTTGAACATTTTTTTGCTTACAACTTTGCACATCTTTATACAGTTAACATCTTTTTTTCATAAAAAATATATATGGGAGAAAAAAACTTTGGTTGGATTAATTAAATTTCTGTGTGTATTGAAATATGAACAAACCAGAAATTCCGATTGAAATGATCAGAATTCTGTCCAAGTTAACAAGATTTCTGATTAACTCTTGGACAGAGTTTTCTCTGGTGACTTCACTTTTCTCTGGTGGAATTTTCTGATTCGTTCATATTTCACGATAAATTTAGTTGAGCCAAACCAAACGTTTTCTTCGTGTGAGAAAATAAAAATGAAAAAAGAAAAAAAGGAATATGTCGGAGCTCTCGTGTTTTGATAGTAATTTTTTCGCTCTCGCGGCGTTATTAGCTATTAAAATTTCGCTCATCCGTCGAGACGTCCATTGAAAATTCCACGACGAATCTGTCTCGCTTGACGTGTACTTGACCAAGTTTACAACGTGAGTCGCGAGCAGAGCGGCGCCCGGCCCGGCGTGTCTCCCGAGACGGCCGCTGCGCGCAGAATGCAGCTGCAATCTCTGCACAGGATTATCTAAGCCGTGGACCGTTACCCCCACCGACCTAAATGCACGCCGTATAAATGGTCAGGACAGCTTCTAACCACTGTCAGTAAGCTCGTGCACCTAATCTCGCCTCTCTGCGCAGCGCATCATCACGCCGCGAAAGTAGTGCGCGATAGCACGCCGCGCGCGCTGAAAGAACTAGCCTCGCCGACGCCTCATAACAGTACTTATGACTTCCCGCGATTAATTACGGAATTCTCTCTACTACCGGAATTCGCGCGGTTCGCCTCGGTTCTGTTGAGTGGCGCGACCTCGCCTCGTGATGATCGCGCGAGATCGCTGCAACGATCCGGGCGATCGCCAGCGGCGTCTGCGATGAGACACAAAACGGCGCGAGATTGAGATCGTCTCGATCGGAATTATGAGGTGCGGAGGTCGCGGGTGGCCTTGCGAGGCCGGACGAGTGGCGCGATTGTCGTGCTGGTTGTTTCTCCTGCTGATCGTCTGCTCGCGACCATGCCACTCTGCGGCTTTCGACAACACGACGGATCCGTTCGTCCAGAAATGCCAAATGGAATGCAGTCTGCGGAGAGATTTTGCGGCCTGCAGCAAATACAAGGTCGCCAGGTGGTTGCACACTTTGGTCAGAGAGAAGGTGAGAGATATCTCCAGAGCGTCGCTTCGTTTAATTAGCGCGAACAACATTCGTCGTTTCTGTCTGGTGCGATGTTGTCGCTGATAATTATTGAGTCAAAAAATTCGTTGTGTCAGATAAAATAGAAATGCAAATTAGTTAGCAGCAGAGATTGATTAGAATGCAAACGGCTTGTTGCGTTGTATCGAATAAAATAGGAAATGAAAACGTTCAGTTATCGAAGGATCGATCATTTTTACAAATGAAATAAATAACACGTCGACTCGATATTTTTTTACATTCGACGAGGACTTTCTATTGTTTTCTTTTTTTTTTTTTTTTTTATAAATAAACTTCTCGCAAGCATTTAATAGAAAAATGACAAAGTTTTGCACCAGCTTGAGATACGAAACATTTCAATCGCGATTTCGGTCGGTCGTTATTTTCTGTGACGTTACGATCTCGATGACGCATTCGCGGAAGATCGACGTTACGCATTGATGTGCGCGATCCATGAAGGTGTAACACTTTTTTTTTTACGTAGGAATTTAGTTACGGGCCATTTCGGGTAATAAGGATACCGTCGATGCACAAGCAATCATTCCTGCCTAATTTGCCGCGTAGCCGGGCATTCAAAAGCAGCATAACGGAAGTCTTGAACTTCATTAGGAACAACGTAGAAGATTTATTGACGAAACGTGCCATTGTGTACACGATAGACAACTCGGCAATTGGCAGCAGAGGCTTCTCGTCGGGTCTGATGGTTATGGATGACGATGAAATCAAGAAATTGCAAAATAAAGAAGAGGAAGGTAAGAGCTCTAACGGGAGATTAATACTGATGAACTGATATCTAATCAAAAAACAAAAGAGTACATAACAAAATGGCATGTAAGATAACCTGACAAAACATGTCGGAACGCGTACTCGGAATTTAGATTTTTCAATTACTACCTTTTATTCTTGATACGTTAATCTTCTCATGTAAATGTAATCATATAAATTTAATTGTGTAAATTTAATATAATTGATAAAAAAGTGAAAGCAGTGCGTGAGATAATAATTTGACAAAATTATATCGGGATAGATACTCGAAATTTACATCTTTTCGAGTATTCTCGTTTATTCTTGACACGTCAGTCTTTTCATGTAAATGCAATAATGTAAATTTAATATAATTGATAAAAAAGCAATGCAATACGTGAGATAATAATTTGACAAATATCTGAATGTAGTCATGCAAATTTAACTGTGCAAATTAAATATAATTAATAAAAAATAATAACGGTGCATAAAACAATAATTTGACAAAATTGTATCGGGACAGATACTCTTTTTTTAGCATTCTCATTATTCTTGATATGTCAATCTCCTCGTGTAAATGCAATCATATAGATTTAATTAAATTCATGTAAATTTAATATAATTGATAAAAAAGTGAAAGCTTTTCATTAAATGTATGAGATAATAATTTGAATATGCCGGGACAGGTACTCGAAATTTACATCTTTTCGATCATCCTTATTTATTTTCTTTGATACGTCAATTTTTTTTCATATAAATTTAATATAATAAGTCATATTGAAAAAACGCTGATTCAGTTTTATGCTCTTTGGGTCGCATCTCTCTCTCTCTCTCTCTCTCTCTCTCTCTCTCTCTCTCTCTCTCTCTCTGTCGTTTTTTTCTCTCCGCGGTTTTCACAATATCTTCATTGGTTAGCAATAACAAGGGAAAGGTGCATTCTTTTACTGTACTTCTGCACAACGGGACATTAAAATTCCGACATATCTGTGCGACTGCGGCGTAATTGTGGCTTCGGTTGCTTTTTATTTCGGGTAACGGTCAACGTTATAGGAAACAAGTATTATCGCCATGTACACTATACAATCAACTACAATGTCCTATATATTAGAGAGAAGCGATGAATGCGACGACAAAATGACAGTGTTTACTACCTCGCGTTTATTGTAACGGCAAGCAATATTTCGTCGCTGCCGACTGTGACCCCGCGAGTGTCTAACAGTGACCGCAGAGATTCTTTCCTTTTTTTGGGAGAAGCGAAACTCTCAACGGTTGACTCTTGTGTGCTTCTCACAGGCGATTGGCGAATCTTCAAGAAAAAGAAGTCCATCATTCTGCCGGTTCTCATACTGTTAAACTTGCTCAAACTGAAGCTGCTGCTGCTGCCGGTTTTTCTAGGAGTCCACTTCATCAAGAAGCTTCTCGTGCTCGGCTCGTTGGTCCTGCCATCCGTGCTGGCGCACTTAAAAGTTTGCAAAGTGCCACACAACCATCACTCCCATCCTTACCACATATGGTCCACCGCGGCGGAAGCACCGGCCGATTATCCGTCAGGTAAAAAATAAAATCCACCGATCGAAAGTACTCAGTAAAGATGAACACACATCTTCCTCAAACTTACGACATAATTATATAAAATCGAAACGCGGGACCAGGAGAAGAATCGAATAATCGCACAATGCTGTGATGCTCTTGATTGTTTCCAAAAATTCAATCTGCAACTGCGATCTGTGGTAGCCCGTTTGGGCGCACTTCTGACTTTACTTGATCAGCTCGCGAGTGCGCTCACGTATGAGATAAATTTTCTCCTCTCTGACAAAAGTAACCTGACAGCTTTGTATGATGCATACTATCTAGGCTAGCTTGAGTTCAGCGTCAGTCAGCTGTGACAGCGAACTAACAGACACAGCTGTACGGGCTATTACGCATGACGCATTGATGTTACCGGCCATAAACGTGTTCAACGTTTGCCCACGGTGGTGACTAGCAAACACTAGATTCCAAACCTGACCGTCCTCCGCGATAGCCACGCACCTGGTCATTTGCGCCCAGCGAAATCCTCCGGCGGGAATTCGCGCGGAAAGCGGCATCCTTTGCCGATCTATCTGGAGCACTGCGAGCTTTTACGCGTAACACGCCCTCTTTCGCGTTTTCTGTTTCAGGATACGCCGGGGACGATTGGCACAGAAACGACTATCAGCTGGGTTATCCCAGTTTCCAGATATTCCGCAATCCCTATGGGTGAGGCGGCGGTCAGTCGTGAGCCACCGTCGGTCGCTGGCTGACGAAAAATCACTTCGCCACCGGCAATTCGTCGATGGGATGCACGCGAGTCGTTTGTTTCACAACGCGAACCTCGTTACATCGTCTGTACATTCCGCGAAGCAGCGCGATCGCTAAGGTCTACTGAAACAACTCGCGTAGTGCATATATATATATATATATAAGAGGGTCAGTCAATCAAAATCTGTGCATTAAAAGTATGTTTTGTATATCAAACACACGATTGGCCGATTTCCTTGTATATACATGGAGAAAATATTACAGTTTTTTTATGTATATAAATTCTTCTCCATTTTACAATGTTTGCGAGTGATGCGAGGAAATAGATTGTCGATGGAGCAGGGATAAAGTAAATTGTCAATAGTAGATGGTATTTAATGATACACTCTGAGAGACAAATATCTAAAGAATAGAAGAAGATTTACTCGATGGATACTAATAACACATTTACTTAAAACTAATATTTTTTATTCAAGTACGAAGTCTCTTTCATGCAAAACCGTGATTTTAAGGAAACATACAATTCCTCATTTGAAAAGAAACTTTCTCTCTCGGTTTAAAAATGTTTATTATATATATAAATATGTTTAAAAATATGTTTATTAATATAAGCAAATATGTTATTAGCATCTCCATTTAATACATATTTTTTTGAGATATTTTTTCTTTTTTTTCAATGTATTGCTAAACACTATCTACTATTAAAAACCTACATTAGTGTCTAAAATATAAACAGCATGAAACGAAAGGAGAAGTTTTTAAATAGATCAATGTTTTCCCCGGTTATAGGATTCTAAAATAAAAATTTTACCGTAAAATACTCTCTCTGTGTATACATTAAACGACGATTTGTTTCCTCTGTACAGGTGTTTAAGTATCCTACGATCCACATAATCTCGATGATCGCGTAATTTTCCTGCGAAATTGCTCGCCCATCCCTCGGATGGGATCTACAATGTTATCCTGGATCCCAATTAGCAGCGTGGTCGCGAGAAGAAACGCCCGTCTCACTTCCGCTCGTTCGCCGGGCTGGCCTCGGCGAGGTACACTCACGAAATAACTTTCACATAGTCTTACCGTTATTTTGACGACGTGACATATTGATATATCTCTTGTAGCCTGTGCGAATTGCGGATTCGAGAAAGGGCACGATGTTAACGACACATCCGTCTGTTCCTCAAATTCTACATTAACAGAGACATGCGAAGCTAAAGAGAGATAAGCGCTCTCTCTCTCTCTCTCTCTCTCTCTCTCTCTCTCTCTCTCTCTCTCTCTCTCTCTCTCTGTGTCTTTCTCTTTTAACGCAGTAGATTGCCGGCAATTTAATTTACGGTTCGCTACTTCTCACTCGCTTGTGAGTACGTTATTTATGCCGCGGATTTGACGGCGCAACGATATTGGGCATGTCCTCGTCGTTTCCCGTCGCGCGTGGTTGTCTCCGTTGATAAGCTTTCTCTCATAATTAAGCAGCCCGACGAGTTTCGTGATTTCCCGATCACAAAAAGTGCTCTGTTGCGGCCTACTTTAGTCCTCCTGGTAACAATGAGAACTCGATAATCGCGCGATTATTTTGATAACCAGCGAGTCAGAGAGTCTGATTGGTTGTAAGTCACTTTTAGCGACAAAAGAAAGGGGCCTGAGGTAAAAGTACTCCAATACTAATAATCCTGGGTACTAATAACTCTGGTATACCTAACTCTGAATATTCTGGTCGTTTTGGTTTTCAAATATGAAAGAACTTTTGAACTTTCAACTTTGGATATACAGGATGTAGAGTTAAAGATGTGAAAAGACTACTATGTTGACAAAGTTAGGAAATCAAAGTGTCTTTGAATTTGCCTTAACGATTGCACCTAGGAAAAAACTAACTTTATCAAATGATATTATATATCTTTGATATCTTTGATATCTTTGATACCAAACGGTTGGATTAAAAAAAAAACAAATATTTCATATTCCACTTGATTTTAGAAATGACAGCCCGTAACACCTTTAACTTTGTACTCTGTATGTATATATTCAATATGTTCTCTATATTCTCTATATTGAAATTTTAAATATTCGTATTTAAAGTCCAAAACGATAAAAGTGTCCAGTATTATTAATGTCCACACGGAAACAACAGTTTGTTTGGATTGACTAATTTTCTATGGAATATGAATCAGAAAGTTCCGGATGACGTTATCAGAATTCTCTTCGAGTTAACCAGAATCTTGTTAACTTGAACAGAATTCTGGTAATTTTCAATCGGAATTTTAGGCACATATTTCAGGCTCATATTTCAAATTCATATTTCACCAGAGATTTGCTTCATCCAAACTTCTTTTCCGCGCAAGCATTGGCACTCTTACCTCACACGTTTGTACAGCGTTAATTATGACTATTATTATTATTTCAAGTCTGAAATCTATTGACTCTGTAACTGTTTATCTTTCAAACGTTTCTCCACATATGACGCGCCGTGCATAATACCCCGCCTGAGGCCATAGTGACCCCCGAACTCCCAACGCTGCGCTCGACTCCGCGCCTGACCCCCGCGCGTTTCTCACGCACGATGCTCTCCCGCGCTTTCGGACAGGTGTCGATATATCGCGGCGCCAGCTGGACGGACGGCACGTGGTCAAGGTCACGCGCTGGCCATTCGGACACTCGGCCAGGTACAACGCGGCCTCGGCGTTGACCTACTGACAGATTTGGACGAGTGCCCGGCTTACTGCGGCTGAAACGCACGAGGCGATTCGCGTCACGCGTCTCTTGTGCGTGCGTAAGTATAGCTGATCGTGTTTTCGTGTGTGCGCCGTGAGTGTGTACGTACACACGGCCTGATCGAAGACCGTTATCGGCTCGCGGACGAGCACGGCGAGAGCCGCGTACCTGTCGTCGACACATTTTAGGTCCCCGATGACGGTCGCGCCCAGTGGAATCTAGCCCTCGCTCTGTTTCTCTGCCATTCTCTTCTTCTTCTCCTTCTCTCCTTCTCCGCGGTATTCTCTTCTCGATCCATCCCACTCATCCGCCACGTAGAATTGACTCTCGGTTTCCCCTCTACCCATTTACGATACCGGATGTGTGAATCATTCACCGAAAAAGTATCGCCACGATTTCTAAACTGACCTTCTTTATTCCTTTAGAATTGGATTCCTGCGCAAAAATTTCGAGATTACTTCTTTCTTTCTTTACTGCTGTGCAAGATATCGTAAAAAATTCGTTCGCTCAGACCGGATGTCGTAAAATCTACACACAGAAAAATATCATTCTGCTGCTGAGAAGAGCGATCACTCAGTTCACTTTCCTTCTCTCAAGTATAATTGGTTATCTTCAAGTATATTTTTCTGAAATATTTTTGAAATAGTTTTGTAAAATGTACTCATCACCGATTTTACAGAAGCTCATTGTCATGTATTTAAGAAAAGAATTTATTTTCTTTACGAAAGTATTAAAGATTTATTATACGAGAGTATAAAAGATCTATTATAAAAAGTCTCAGGTCGTTCCTCTGCTGAAAAAGACTCCTGAAGAAGTGAACTGGAATGATCACAGACGTCAACCAATCCATAAAGAACGTGACACCTATTTAAAAATCTGACCAAGCAATATTATGAAACTTTATCGTAGATGAAGTTGATTCAACTCTATGCAGTAAGCAAACGGAATTTTTGCTTCAATTTAAAATACTTGATTGAAGTGGTAAATTTGAATGATTCAAACCTGAATAAATCTGTTCTGAATAAAATCTGAAAATTTTTTATGCTTATGATGAAGTTATGATAGATTTGTGAGTATATAAACTTGTGCAATACTTGCAGCAATTAATATTTTGTTTAACAATAAATATTCTTCTGTGTACGGAGGTTACCACCGTTAGTTAGTCCGTTATTGTCAATATAGAGTCATTTTGACTTCCTTAATTCTGTTTCATTTGTTATCTGTCTTACACGAAGGGAATTTTATAATAAAAATTACTATAGAATTTTGTAATCGAAAAATACATTGACATTCTACACTAATGGACTTTCTTTCAACCGAAATGAAATCCTTTCTTGAAATATGCGCTATTTATATTGTAAGAACTGAAATGGGCTATTAAAAAATTTGCCATGTTGCTAACGAAATTACTGAGCTGTATTTCTGAACAAGACAGACCTTTTCTGCAGAGAGAAACACGATAGAACTGAAAAGAATTTCTATTTGAAACATTATAATACTCTTTCTGTATACAAATCACAATTTAAAAACATTTTTTTAAATTAAGTCACAGTTTTCAAGACACAGACATTCAAAATGACTAACATCAGCAATTTGGAGTTAAAGTTAATACTCTCTTTCTCTCTTTCCCTCTCTTTCTCTTAGCATTAGCATTAATACTATAAGAATTGTCAAAGCGAGGAGGGAGGGAATTCGGAGACCCGACCTGCGCGCCCAACACCCGCCGGCGAGCGAAGGACTGATAACAACGCTGGCGAGCAAAGGATTAATGATCCGGTCTGGAGTCCGTGAAATGGCAGGGGACGCGAATCGGAAGCGACACATCGCTACGTGGACGCGATCGATATGTGGCGTGTGCACGTCCGCGACAACTCGACCGTTACGTTCTTACGTTATATGCGAGCGGAAAAAGTTGCATTAACGTAACGGACCGTCGTCCATGTCACGGCGCTCGACTGGGTATCTGTGTACTTAGCTTGTGTTGCTCGAACCTTGCCCACTACCATGTAGGCTGAGCTGAAATGCGCGATTCATACGCGCTTGATTTACGCATGTTTATCGCGTGGATTCGCACGCGCGCGTGTCGTGCGCGCGACATTACGTTGCATACGCCGAAGGTGTTTCCCCGGGATATGAAGAGTTTTGCGCGACAAGGGGGAGAGTGCCGTATCTTTCGATGAACATGATGTAATTGGAGTTTTAGCTCGAATAGACCATCTTTTTCCTATCCTCGAAAGGAAATCGTTTTTACTCTGAGGGAAGTCAAGGCTTCAGCTGCGTCGCGACAGATGACTGGCTTCCTGGCAAAAGACATCCGAACGTTCGATTCCTCCACGGCTGTTTGTCGATGAAACAGTCATTCAGGGATCCGTGTTATTAGTTATTATATGAAACTCGCGTCTCAAGTGAGGCACTCAAGCTTGTAATAGTTGTCACTTGAAACTTACCTCAAGTGAGATACTCAGATTTGAATTCAGAGTTAGATGCGAGTTTTTCAGTTGTATCGCGATTGCAGATGTAAATATAATCACATATGTTATATATAATTCAACTAAAAAATTTGAATCTAACTCTGAATAAAAGGCCTGAAGCCTATATTAATTTTTGAAATTATATACTCTTTTAAATGATATACTAAGATTTGAGTTCAGAGTTAGATGAGAGTTTTTCAGTTGTATCGCGATTGCAGATGTAAATGTCATATATGTTATATAATCTAATTGAAAGATTGAGATATAATTCTGAGTAAAAGTCTGAGTATCTCACACGAGACAAGTTTCAAATTTCAAGTGACAACTATAAGAGTATCTCTCTTTCGATGGAGAAGATATTCAGAGTGTCACTTTCTTTTTTCTACACAAAGTGATAGTTTCAGGTTGCGCGGAGCTGCCTAAATTGCCTGTCGATAAAAGAGATAATATCGCCAAATTCGACATGCAGCTGTAGTCAGAAGTTCGAACCTTAAAAGCTCGATCTTCCTGCTTGGATACTTTTTACCAGTATAGATCATACGATACGGGCAGTTTTCAATGAAACAGCTGTATCCAGATGGTGTTTGCGGACATTTTCGTGGTGTCGGTAATTACTTCATGTGTTTTGACTCTTGCAAGTCTTTTTTACGAAATTTCTCTCTATCTTTTTTCCCTCTCCCTTCTCTTTCTCTTAGCATTAGAGCGGCACGTGTGTTTTACGCGACGCCGTTTGCTCGCGGATGTAGATCTAATGGAAATAAAATTGTGAAATAATTTATAAATGGATGCGTTCCTTCACCTTTCTCCTAGTTTAAAGTGCACTTTACGGTACTAGGGAAATTTTCGTGTTCTACCTTGCAGCGAGATCGCAAACACATCGATGTACCGAAGATCATAATGCATGTTTACACGCGGCGCATTTTAATAAATAAAAACGCCTTTGTATGAAAAGAAAAAAAACGGCGCGACCTCGAATTCTTATTTACCGTCTTATTCCGCACGGCATCGCTCTCGATCATTTTTCCGCATTAAGTCGGATACACACAATAAATCAAACGCAAATCGCCGAGGAGTGAGCGTAGATCGATGCGACTTACATTTTCGAGAAACGGCCGAGAACGACTCCGCAGGTGTGCCGCGGCGCGGTTACATTTGTACGTGAAACGCGAGTCGAAAGAAGCGCGACACTCCGGCGTGACCCTCTTTCCAGGTGGAGCGCATTTTTACGAACGTGCGAGTAAGTAAATCCCTCGTCGGGGTTTGCGATGTGAGTTGCGCCCGGACCTTGTTTCCGACGAGTAGCCGTTTGTTTTTGCATTGGAAAGCACAGACAGTGTCAGAGTCGTGCCACTGCGCTCGCGTAAACGATTCTCTTAGCGTTAACATTCTAACGGGTTTCCCCGCTGAAAGTCGTTTGTAAATAGCACGTTGTAACGCACGGAGCACATGTGCCGCGGTGTCAAATGTTGAGTAGCGATAATCGCAGAGCAGTCGCCGAGTCAGCTGTTGTTGGCTCTCTCGCGGGGCACAATAAGGTGATCATCCCAAATCGCCGGCGACGTTGCACAGAGTCAAGTGACATTTCACGTTTCAAAGAAGGCTACAGCTTTGAAACTTCAACCGATTTCGATTCTCTTTTTTGATGAAAGCTGATGAAACTTAGAACAACTTCGTCGAGTCAGACACTTGTCTTTTGCTTCCTTTCTTCTAAATCAGACATAAGGAAGTTAAATATGAAAATTTTTTTCATTCAAACAGTGGATAACTCATTTCATATCTCATTTAATTTAACATTAGGTAGCACAGATATTGATATTGAAATTAAAAATGCAAACCCTGATTATAAGCTCGAAGAAAAGTCATACAGACTTGCTAAATCTTATCTTAATGAACGAGATTAATTGAAATAGTACTTAGTTTTAGTAAATAAAAACTACTTAATAAAATCAAATTATAACTATGATGTTATTTAATTTTTTTATTAATTATTGATCTTGAAGTAACAAGTTTTTTTAGTTTCGCATCTATCAGAATTGTTTGAGTGAGAGCAAATTTCCAAATCTAACTTCTTTAGGTTTAGTTTAGAAAAAAGAAAACGAGAGTCAAAAATCTGGCTTGACAAAATTATTCTAAATTTCATCAGTTTTCATTAAAAAAATAAAGAGCATCGAAATTGTTTCAAACGTCGAGATAGTTTTGATAATTTTATTTAGCCCCATTGGGCGTCGTGTCGAATGTGGGCGAAACCTAAATTCAGATTCTCGGGACCGTTGACTTCGCGACTCACTGGCCGATGAAAACATCATCGATAGTATCATTTAAATATCGGTAAACTCCCAAAAGGAAAAAGAAAAGGTGCGTGAGAGAAATCGCCGTGACTGATTCGATCGGAAATTCGCATGAGAGTTCTTCGCTGACGTCACCATCGCGAACAATCCACATACGAAAAGTAGATCGTGCGAAAACACAAAAAATAGCCGTTCCTTTGAGTTCGCCTTCGGCTTCGTTTCATAATTGTTTATAGTAAAAAGATAATCATGTTGACGGAAAACTGTACGTACCGAGATATTCTTTAACCTTTTAAGGCACATAATTCATGGAACATTCTAGTAACTTTTTTTTAATAAAATATTGTCAAAAACACATGTGCTAAATAGCACATTTATAAGGTTTCAACTGTCCGATTCTAAGTGATCCAGTGATACTTAAAGAGTTAATTTTAGCGTACGCGAAACATTTGGTCAAAATCTCTGATTGTACATTAGAGAGTCATAATACAAATTTTCGTTCTCAAATCTGTTTCTTCTGACCTTAAGAAATGCATCCTTAAAGAGGTTAAATAAAATACAAGTGCTGGAAAGCTTAAACTCGTCTAACGATATTTTTTTCACGCTATTTTTAATCCTACTCACTTTCAGTCGTACATGACCTAGTATTTTTGTATTTGTATCTCTTTGTAACGCTCTTACTTTGTGTGTTGATATCTGAGGCTTGATTATGGAAAAACATTAGCTTTGACTTCGTCGGCTTAGGGCCGTCTTTCTTTTTCTATCAATATTTCTATCAATGTCTAAACATTTCGGTTTACTTCATCAGATTGCTTTTCTCCTTAATAAAGCGAGCTGAAATGTTCATGAAAAGTCGGGAATAAATCCACAGAGAATGCGGAATTCATACTTAACGTTTCTTCACACTGCGAAAGCGTCAAATGTCAATATACAAAGTGGAAAGGCAAGCAGATAGATAAATGAATTTAGAAATCTGAACCCAATTGTTTGAAGATACAAAGAGATACAGATATATCAGATCAGACACGACGAACTACTCAAATAAAATAAATAGTCTTGCAGTCATATTTTTAAATCAGTTATCTAAATATGAGGAACTAACTAGCTAAGATAAAGAAATGTTTAATAAATAATACGATATGTTTTGTATTTCATCAAAATAGATAAGAAAAACAGAATGTCTATCTGAATTATTTGTAAAAGTAGGATGCTCAAAATATATGAGAACCCCGCTTCACGTAAACAGTCTGTGTCAAATCATAGTTTTCTACTTTAATTTTATTTAGTTCTGTACTTTAATTTTTAATCAGCACTTTCCTATATCTAGTAGCTGAAAGGATATAAAGTAGTTAAAGTGGTTAAGGTTTCAATAATTTTATACCTCCCTAATGCCTTTAACAAATGTTGAATGATTGCTCATTAGTAAAGGAACAATCATTCTGCAAAGTCAGAAGCTCTGGGTCAGACGATTGAGCTCTTAACTCAATAAGGGTCACCGCTATCAATAAGAGAATACTAGTTGGGGACATTGATGAAAAGAAAACAGCAATAGTAAATCGGAACAGAAGCAACTTGAAATCGCTGAATGTGAGTCGACCTATGTGTAAATCTCATAACAATATATTGTATCCCAAATATGATCGAAAACGTTCCTCATTTTCACGAAATGTAAGTATTTATGCAATTATAATATATGCATATAATGCATATAATGCAATTTTGAAGTTTTCTATATCTCGTTTTGGATATTTCAGACAAAGATGAACCTAAGAGTAAGTTTGATATACTCGAGTCTTTTGGTTTCATTCGTGTCCACTCGGGGGCTGTTTTGAACATTTTTCTTTAGCAAGAAAGCCTCTCTCTATGGCACCATCCATCCAGACTAAAGTCAGCCGCACTTTACATAAAAATTGACTAGACGGAAAAGACCAGCGACAAACGAATGCATAATCCTCACATCCGTCTAAATTTGCCTTCAGACATCGCTAGAATGCCGTTGCTGTCAATTCTAAATACGATTTTCTAACAGATACAAAAGCAGCGATAAATTTTAACATTTATAATTCTGCCAGTAGAACGTTACTTTGAACGAAATTAGGCTGAAGGTAATGCAAAGAAAAATCCAGTCAGACGAGTTTAGGAATTTCGCCTCGGCATCTTCCGGACTGACTCGATTTTCTTTTCTTTACTGTCAGTTCGTTCGCGAGTCATCATCGTCGTGTTCTCGAGCCAGTCTCGAAGACCCGTCGCAAGAAGATCCCGCGGTGTAGTTGCCTCGTAGAGGAATTTCTTGTGTCATCGGATATCGTCGGCGGCTCACCTCAGGATCGGGAGTGCTCGCCGAAATTCCGCCAAGTGAAATCGCGAACCCGCGTACGCGCGCGCTTACGTGCGTGCGTGTGTGTTCAATTAAAGCCGCGACAAGTTGTTCAAATCCGATCGGTTCCACGTGTCAGGGCGGGCTGTGCCCACCTCGCAGCGGGCACGTATCATGATTTCGCCCTTCGTGAGCGCCTCTCCCTCGGAAGTAGGAAGAAGAAGATGAAGAATGGACATCGGCGGCGTCCTGAAGCGCCGATGGCGGGAACGAGTGGACGAATGAACGAACGTGGTGAGCGAGGAAGAGGCGGAAAGGAACGGATAGAGGGACGGACAGACTGATGGCCGGGTAACCCAGATCGGGTCAGTCGAGCCGATCCTACGGCGACCGGCTGGCAGTACGGTGTCGGACGTCGTGCACGATTCCGACTTCCCGGCCGTTCGAAAGGCGCGCGCTCCGCGACCGGCAGATTCTCTTCTTTTGCTTTTCCCCTCTGTTTCTTCCTCTCTCGCTCCCGCGGCCGGAAGGGCTCGCCTCGCGATTTCGCAGGAGTCGCCCTGAGGGATCGAGTCCGCCGTCGCTCGTCCTCGTTGTTGTCCGGGCGCGAGCCGGGTGTTGATGTCAGCGACGCACCGTGAAAGTGAGTATCAAGTCGATTCGCGAGATGCGCGGGATAGCGCCGGCTAATGGGTCCTCTTCGCGGATCATCGCGTGTGCGATGGACGAATGAAATTGTCCGTGGCGCGTAACATGTCGGGGAAAAAACGGGACAGAACGCTGTCGGTGAGATCGCGTTAGAATGTATCGGTGAAAGGACGATACTCGCTGCGCACCGCTCATTAATCGCACATGTGTTCGCATTCGAATCAATCTGCCGCACACGTTCCACCGTGCTAACTACATACACAGCCCGAGATTAGAGTGTCCATTTTTATATTTGAACATCTAGTTTATCTCGTTTGTCGCGTGAGGTAAGAGTAAACGCCGGCAACATTACGGGAATTGATGTAAGATATCAATGCCCGGACACGTGATCTTCTTAATCGTGGAAATTCTTGTGTTTTTATGATCTTTAAAAACGAATATTTAAACTTTCAGCATAGAAAATATGCATCTGTTGAAATATATAATATATATTCTATATATATATTTAAATATATTCTATATATATGTTTAAATATATCCTTATCTAAAGAACAAAATAATAAGAATGTCCAGGAGGCAAAAGTATCAGTGCCGTTTGGACACGTGCCTAATTCTGGGCGTTCTTGTTGTTTTGGCCTTTAAATATGGATATTTAAACTTTTAACGTAGAATATATCCATATATTCATATATGTATATATATTCTGTGTTGAAAGTTTAGATATTCGTATTTAAAGACCAAAATAATAAGAATATCCAGGAGGTAAAAATACCAATACTTGCGGACCCACGCCTAATCCTGGGCGTTCTTGTTGTTTTGGTCTTTAAATACGAATATTTTAACTTTTAATATAGAATATATATGTATATATCTATATATATAAAATAGAATGTCTGTATATCTGTATGTTCTCTATATTAATTAATCCTAGACCCTTTGACCGATCTGGATCAAATTTGGCATAGTTACTTTCTAGCCGTATTTCCATTCTATGGAAAATATAAGCTACCGTGAGATCTGGACATCCCACCTCTTTCCCCTAACTTTATCCCCTTGACACTTTGTGTAATTTAAGTTTAGATGTTCTAAATACACAGAAAACCCGAATGACACTGGATAGTTTAAGTCAGTATTTCGTTTTGAAGTTTAAATATTCATATTTTTAAAGATCAAAACAATAAGAAGGTTCAGGACATGGAATATGTAAAAATATCAAAATCCTAACACGTATCTGGTTCTGGACATTCTTGTTTTTTAGTCTTTAAATACGGATATTTAAATTTTTAACATAAAATATATATATTTTGTGCTGAAAATTTAAATATTTATATTTAAAGACCGAAATAATGAGAAAGTTCAGAATTAGAAATCCGTATCCGGAAATTGATTCTTTTACCTTACACGCGAAGAATTTCACGGTTTAATAGGCTTATGTCGAGAAATTTAGTAGAGAAATCAACGCGAATAGTAGGAATGCAGCTTTACAAAAATATCTAACATACTTTATTATAGGTTTGCGTACAAATCGATGATTATTTAAAACCTTGAAGTAATCATAAGAAATTAGGGAATTAATATTTATTACACCATAAATATCCAGATATTCATGTCGAATAATTATAAATACTCAATTATCCTTCTTCAATTACTTTCGAGTCTATCCAAATATGATCATCAAAATTTTCTCAGGGTTCCGTCTTTAACGGTAGCTTATCTTATTATCAGTTCTGTGCACCGTATTACATCATTATTTCGTCGGTGTTTCGCTTTTCTTCATCAAAAAACAACGAATTTCTTTATACCGGGTCCATTATATCTTGTCCATTGGACAAAGCTGGCGAATAATCTCCGCGGGTACCAGTGAATCGTTGGAAGTAAAACTTGCACGATTGAACCCATCGGAAGCTATCTAGTGAGTATGCCGCGTGCAGCTCACCCACGACGGGCGAAAGAATCAGCTGACCGTTCGAGATAGAGGAAGGACATGCAAGACTGATCTAGCATAACTGCGTTTCGCTGTGCGCGAGTAATAGTAACATCATTATTATTAAGTATCGTTTCGAATAATAATTTCTCGTGCCGTTAAGTTACGTGAAATGATGCCATAAGCAATCATAATTCAACACAAGGGCAAGCTGAGGCTCACAGAATTTCGACGGTTCTCGGTCGTACGTCGCGCCACCTCGAAAGCCAACACCGTGTCGTCTGATTTCAGAAAACGAAACGCACAGGCAAGCGCAGGTCGAGATGCAGTTCTTCTCGTACGGTAACCAAAGCTAGCCGACAGTCGAGCGCCTGGTGTCTCCCTCATTAGATCGGACAATGGCGAGGGGGAGGGCAGCCACGATATTGTCGATCGTGATCTTGGCTGCTGTAAGCCTCCGCGTTGCCGCAGAGTTCAAGGTCCAGGCGGAAGCTGCGGCCTTGAACGAGACCGCGCGCCATGATGACGAGGTCGTCGAGGAGAACGAGCTGCCGTTGTACGGCGAGCCCGAAAACCGGACCGACCGATCGCCGACCGAACATCCTCACAAGATGCACGGGAAGCCAAGTAAATTCGACGTGGATCTTCGCGCGGACGACAAGGCGGATTATCAGATCGAGTCCACGAGAATGGACAACATCACCACTGCAAGTCCGCTGGAGACGAACTCGGCGACGACGATGACGACGACGACGACGACGAGAGCGACCACGAGGGCGACTATGATGGCGAGTCGTTATCCGGCGTATTTGACGCGATGTAGAGGCTCGCAAATGTTTTCTTGCCTACGGAGGGACTTCTTGAACTTTCTCGACCGAATCTCGCGGGTCGACACGTACAACGTGACGGAGCACGTGCAGATAGTGAAGAATCCCCAGGCGAACGTCACGTGCGACAATCGAAGAGAAGATGGAGAGGAGACGAATCTCTTGGACAAGGTGCACCGCTACGCTCGGACACACGTGATGAAGATACAGCTGGGCAAGGATCTGAGCCTCGCCGGGAAAGCCAGGACATTCTTCGGTTGTGAGTTTCCCCAGCTAAACACGCTTGCCACTGGTTCTTCCCGCGTGTGTTCTCCAGTGTTCCTTCGAACGCGATCCGTCGATCATTATCCGCACGTCGCGGCGCGTAGCTCGGATTGGTGCGGTGCGAGAGTAAACGGAGGTGGCTTCACCACGAAAAAGGGGTAAAACCGCGTGCAACATCAGCATGCTCTTCATCACATGATCCTGCTTCTTCGTTTCATTTTTCATCTTGGTCTCAGGGAAACATCAGGGAACAGATCTACTCAGATCGTCTTCGCATATACACACACATATCCACACTTCAAAGAAATGCAAGATTTTACATTATTAAGCATCCTTATATTACTCATTCTAAATCTATTATACTATTAAAGAATCTCTTTACATCATTGAGAATCTTTAATTCTATCTATCTTATTAATAATACTACTTGCTTTAATTCTATCTTATTAATCTGATTTTTATTTTGATTTTTTAAGGATCCTTTTCTTTAAACAAAAATATTTTAATACATTATTAAATCCTTAACTTTATTTTGATTTTTATTTTAATGTTTTAAAGATTCTTCTTTAAAGAAAAATATTTTAATATATTAAGAACCTTTAATGCCATTTTTATTTTGATTTTTAAAGATTCATTCTTTGAAGAAAACTATTTTAATGTAGTAAATATCCTTAATTCCATTTCGATTTTCTATTAAATATATAGTAAATATCACTAAAGATCCTTAGATTTATTTTTATTGTTTAAGGATCCTTCATACATAAAAAAAGAAGAAGAGGAGTCATAATAGTTTTGCGCCTTTTTCGTGGGGTGAGCATATCAATTAACACATATATTTCTTAATTATCTCCTAAGTGACAAACTCGGTATGCTCGGTATGCTCGTAGACACGACCAGACGTCAACGAGGTCGAGGTGTGCGAGAGGGAGCTTTAATTTCATGAATTAGCTTTTTGGTGGTAAATCGAGCTTGAGTCGATGCTAATTGGCAAAAGCGCGGACTAAACAAAATTTCGCGCTCACGCGATGAGATTAATTGCGATTACGCGGTGGGAAACCCTTTATTCTTCTTTATCTACACACGAGAATGGAATGTTTCAGCAAACGCGCGGCACGTGGAGAGTTGGAGAAAAAGAGAGAGAGATAGATAAAAAGAAGGAGAGGTAGAATACGGAAGAGATGTTGGCTGCAGCATGGCTTTCAGGGCTAACCGCAGGGCTTTAACCGGCTGGTACTTTTGCTTTCAGCCATCTTTCAGGGAAAGAGTACCTTTTTAACAGGATTCGGGCTTGGTTTTCTAGCGTTCGGTCTGAAGAAGCTGCTGCTGCCGCTGTTCTTCGGCGTGCAGATCATTAAGAGCGTGTTGCTCGCTCTCTTTTTACCGAGCATCATCGGCAGTATCGGCAATATCGTCGGCAAAGGTGCGTTCAACTTCGTATTACGAGAGCACAGATTACTTCGTCTCGTCGATAGGACGATTTCTCCGTTCTCTTTCGAGAGAGACGTTGCTAAGTGCGCTCGTTCGTTCGCTAACTTAGAAAGTGTTTATTTCGAAACGAGCGCTAATAATACGTGCGCGCACGAATTGCAGGCGTTTCCTCGTTCGCGCAGTCCTCGCATCCGCCGGTGCCCGAGGAGAACTTCGAGTTCAAGGACAACTCCGACCTGTACAACGACGATTATCTCACCAGGCAGCCGGTGGGCACGCTGCCGGCTTCCGCTATGTACGACGAGAGCATGATGCAAACGCAGAAGAGCCCGGAGATTGCGTCTCGCTACGCCTTCGTCGACTCCAGAATATCTCACGCAAACGCGCTCTCCGATCGTTATTACACGCGGCACGTGGCCGCGCACGGGCTCTCTAAGAAGCAAGACTTTAAGGTGAGTCTTCACGATCGCGAATTCACGATCACAGTTTGCTTCATCATAGAGAAGAACAATCTCTGCCGCGAGAGTCTCAAATATCAAATTTCAATGGACTTTTATCAAGTACCATATCTGATATAATTGATCATTTGTAGCATCTTTATTATTATTCCACTTTATTAACGGATGATTAGTTGCTCTAATATTTAAAGAATACGTCATTATAATATAGAAAACGTCGCAAGCGTTTTGTTACAGCAGTCCTAAATATAAAAAGCTTAACAACATGTAGATTAGCCAATACGATTTGCAGGCTTAAATTTTCCGTGTGATGTTTTGTACAAAGAAAGAGCATTCAAACAACATGAGTAAGGAAAGACTCGATCTACATCCATACAATTTCTACAAAAATGATTACACACATTGCAGAGTAGTCCGACACTTCCTGAGTAAAAACTTACGCATTGCGACCTATTTATAGATCATATACATTACAAATTGGCACATATCACATTTGTCTGATTGGAACAGTCGGTTTCGAGTCTCCCTCAACGGCAATCACTAAAGCATTGTTCCACTCCAATAGTGGAGCCATTGTAGGGAAGGACTTAAATGGAGATTTAAAGAGATTGCTTATTAACCGCGACTTTTCAGCTGTCTTACGGTAACATAGCGGTTTACAAACCGCTATTATTCTTGTCGGTTCGATCGGCTCGAGATAAATCTCGGCTTGTTACATTGCGTCGGCAGTCGCTGACAGTTCCAAAGAGCCCAATTCGATAATGATCAAGGTAAGTATGTCGTAACAATACGTTTGTTTTTCCGTTGTTTTTCATTCCACGCCGGCGCCGCCGCCGCCTATCCGCCGGCGACACCGGCGAGCATCTTCCACTTTTGACACTCTCGACGATTGAGATTTGCGCGACCCACTTACTTCGTTGCACTTCGTTTCAGCACGTTCGGCAACACGCATCAATGCGCAACGGATGCGCAGGACATCAAATCAACTGTATTTGGAAAGATTGGCCGATAGAGTATCTGCTTCTTAAAAACCGAATTTACTTTGATTTACAAGAACCAGAAATTCTATTTTCGTCAACCAAAACGTGTTTGGTTGTGTCATTGTCGCGTTAATTTGGCTAATCTTTATTTTCTATGCCAAGCATCGCCATAAAATCAAACGTACATAAGAACAAGTCGTAAAGACGCGAAAAACGTCGTATTTGTTTGTCTGCAGGTCTTCCACGAGATCCCGACGAGTTCGCTTCTCCTCACTAACTATGATCCTTTCTACTCGCCCTTGCTGTCGCGCCTCGACGCCGTGTTCTCGCGTCTCGGGCACAACACGGAGGGCTGCAGGGAGTACGCGGTGTGCGCGATGTATCGAAGTCCAGCCCGGTACGCGCCCTACTCGAATCTAGTGTCCGCCCAACTGTCGAGGGAGTTGAACGAGTTGAGGAAGCCTAGCAGTGACAATCCCGACGTGCTGCGCTTCTTCAGGTACATGAAGGCCGCCAAGGACGGCCAAGACGGCGTCAAGTGCGAAGAGCTCTACGCGAACTGCGCGAACGCGCGCGAGGATCAGAGCCTGAAGCAGAATCAGGCGATGTTGGCGACTTACCAAGACATCAACAAGCTCGTGCAGGCCCGGAAAATCTGAGAAGAGTCGCGCGAATCTCCTTCTCTTCTCGTCGTCGACGCCGTCCATGTGAGATGAAGAAGAAGTAGAAGAAGAGAAGATATATTTTCTGTCGCGTCTGTCGCGATCTTTGGGAGGAGTCGTCTGTGTAAGATAGTCGGGTTGGAATGATCGGATGCACTAGCGCGGTCGCTGAGCAAGTTCAGTGTCTGCTCTAACGATTCAGCATCCGTCCATTTGTAGACGTTCGTTCGCGCGAAGCGTAAGTTCGCAGTGATGGCCCAGTAAGCAAAGAACATTAAATCAACATCTTCAAATATATGAATTTTACGTGTATCTCTTGAACATTTTCGGTTATGTTCGAGATATTTTCAAAATATTTTCAAGATATTGCCGGATAATACGATCTCTTTGATTATTGTGGAAAATATTTTAGAAATATTGAAGCTGAAATTGTTCATAATAATTTGATATTTTAGGCTTTCGCAGTGTCCATACATTTAGATTTTGCTCCCGAGTTTGAGCCGTGTCTCGGACTCTTCTTTGTTTGATTCGCGAACATTTCAGTCCGTTTTATCAGAGAGAAACGACCCGATTGTTCATAATGACGTTGATATGCAACGTTAAAAGCTATATATTAAAAAATATGTGTTATTGGATATTATTACAATAAGATTCTATCAATGATTTTTGCTTAGTGGAGATCATTACATTTATTCGAGGGCCCATGGATAAAAGGGATGAAAGGGAACCAGGAGTCGTTTAGCGCTGCGGGTTTCTAGATCAGTCTTCATCTGCCACTGTGTGAGCCTTCAATTTCCGCGATTGAATGCACTCTTGGGCCCGTATTACTAGTTAGTAGCCCGTATTAACATAATTATTACCTGAGATCTTTCTCAAGTGAGATACTCAAATTTCAGTTCAGACTCGTATCAATAGTCATTACTTGATACTTGTGAGATATTCAAATTCAAAACAAGAGTTGTATCTGAGTTTTCTAATGGAATCATATGATATATGTAACATTATATAATACTTGTAACCGTGATTCAGCTGAAAAATTTATATCTAACTCTAAATTCAAATCTGAGTCTCATCTGAGATAAATTTCGAGTGACCATTAATACACGCTAGAGTTAGATGAGAGTTTTTCAATTGAATCGCATTTATACAAATGCTATACATATATTATAATTTGACTGGAAGACTTGAATCTCTAACTCTGAATAAAAATCAGAGTATTTCATATGAGACCAGTTTCAAATAACGACTATCAATATAGACCTTGGTGTATCGCGTACAGTTTTCCAAGTTATCGTCCGTGGTACGAAAGAACTCGCTCGAGTTTTAAGGTTCAGCTGGCATCACGTGTAAGCCTTTGAGAACTTCCATTGATTACGTGAGGCCTCAGAACTTCCCTTCGATCGTTTTCGTGAAAATTGCATGATTCAATTAAGACGGTATAAATAATATGGATCATATGAATTCATTCGAACACTGATTGAGAAATTCGCTTTTTGTTAACTTTCTCTTTCAGAAATGCGGCCAAGAACGGATGCACTCCTTGTGTATAATTTAGCGATCATTACTGATTAAATCAAGCGTGTCTTGTGCGCGTTTGTATCGTGTGCAAAGAAGTTGGTCGATCAACATTATCATCGATGTCATATCCTAAGTATACAATCTTGGACACACAAGCGGAAACTATATCGATACGAACTAGAGCATCGCGATTTATTAAACGTCCGGTTCTGGGATTATGAGAGAGATGTATGTGATTCAATCTACTTCTCACGTAACAAAGTGGTTTAGAAGTGAAAATGATATCTAATCATAATGTCGATGTAGAAATACGCAGTGGAAGGGATTTGTTCCCCCCCTTCTGGACTTGTTTCCTGGGAAATTATATTATGACAACTAGATTGTGCAGAATACTGATGCGATAAGCGTATTCTGCACTGAGACTCTTGAATCGAGGAAAAAGATTCTTCGAAGGAAAAAAACATTATATTTTTCTTTGTAGCCTGGTACTTGCGCGGACGAATGAACGGTTAATAATTTAACGACGTAAATGAATTAATTTCGACGAGTTGTGTAGATATGGCGTATAGTATTATGAACTCACACGACACGCACGTCTCAAAAACGTCTTAGGCTTATATTAATAGTTGTCACCTGAAACTAATCTCATGCGAGATACTCAGTTTCTATTCAGAGTTGGATCCCAACTTATCAGTTAAACTATGATATATATGACATTTGTATTTGTAATCGTTATTATATCGTTACAATATGTGAATGCCACTTGAAACTTGTCTCATGTGGAATACTTAAATTTATATTTAGAGTTGGAGCCAAGTTTATCAGTTAAACTATAATATATGTGATATTTGTATCTGTAACCGTGGTTTAATTGCAAAACTCATCTCATCTAACTCTGAACTCAAATGTAGAAATCTTACTTGAAACTTATTTCATGTGAGATACTCAGATTTATACTCAGAATTGGATTCAAGTTTATCAATTAAACTATAATATATGTAATATTTGTATCTATAATTGTGATTCAACTGAAAAACTCTCATCTAACTCTGAATTTAAATTCAAATACCGTGCGAAGAGACGAGTTACTATTAATATGGGCCTTAATTAAAGATGCTCAAAAGACGTCTTATTTTTTGGATGTCTTTTGGACGACTCTGAGACGGCTTTGAGGCATTTGTGTTGTGTGAGAAAGTACTACATATATTGAATTAATTAATTTATTTGGGTATTATATCGTCCACACACACATACACACACACATACACACGCAAAAACAAGCACGTAGGATTTAATCTTGCGACGAATGACAGTGACTACGAATATTATTTATTTTTGTGTGACGTGAGGATGCGGATATATTAATTTATTAAACGTGCGAACGACAAGAGCGTCGCGCGTGCGCGCGGAGTGCACGTATACTTAGATTAAATCCGACTTCATTAAAAAAAATTGCAATCGCCGTTGCATTTATGGTATATCTATGAATTAATGTACAGCGTGCGCACGTCAATAAACGAAGAAATGGTACATGACGTCAACCACGAGGGTTTCTCCAAAGTAAGACGGCGCAACGTGTGTCATGACGTACATATATATATTATATAATCACGTTTACATAATAGAGATCTCCTAGTTCCGTTTGAGATTTCAGGCGTTAACGATAAAAACAAAACGTAAGCTCGGATTATAGCATCCGCATAAAATCGACGTCTTCAAATCTATCTTCTAACGGGTGAAATTGCATGTCAAAGTTCAGAGAGACGAGGTATCTTAAGGGGATGCTGGAGTCGATGATGAACTCGAACAATGTCGATAATGCAGAAACAATCGTCACTAACATAATCATGCTATATTTTTCGTATTTCTTGTATATACAGAACTTACATGAATGTGTGTTGCTTTGTTTTATCATATTCAACGGAAAACCTAACCATATAGAAATCTTTCTGCAATTCTCATTTTCGATATTTTTAAGCTTCCAAATGCAGATGTGAAGGTAGAGCAATGTGCTTCAAAATTTTTCTATTTGGAGCATCTACACTTTCAGTACATACAAGCTGCGGAACTTTTGGATTAGGCAAATATTACGCTGATAGCTTGAGATTTTACATTAAAATTTTTTTGTTCGTTTTCGTCACATATCGAGCAATGCTCCTATTTATTTTTGCACGTACTTTCATTGCGTAAAAGCACTTGTAATTCTGTGTAACCAATACGACGTAAACTTTGCAAAAAAATGTCAGTAAAGTTTTGTCGGTAAAGTTTTCAGCTTCAGCATCCCCTTAAGATTAATACGAAGACAATTGAGTTGAAGACAATTAGATAAAAAAACGTTAAACGATAGATCTCGTATGTATTGCGATGCGAGAGAGGATCATTTCGAGAGGGAAATCGATGAGAGAGATGCGAAGGAATGAAACTGGTGTAAGGCGATGACGCACCTCGGGTCGTGAACCGGAGAGGGAAGTACATTGACTTCATCTCTCTCCTGCGGCGGGAGACGTCTTTGTCCCTTTACGTTGTCCAGTTCCGGCTCTTGTTCCGGCCACGCCACTTTCACTCTTGATTTTTGTATATCCTCTTGTTCGCCATACATAGAGTAACTTACGAATCCTTCCCCTTCTCTGAACGAAATGGCACGCTCATATAAATCCGTAGATCGTGAGTCGAGGCGTCACATCTCTTTCGGAAACTAAAGTGTCCGACACCGCGTCCCACGATAAATCGATCAATCTCAAAAAGACCTCCAATTTTTCGGCAAAAAGTAGCAAAAAAATAATTTCTCCTTCGAAAAAGATTTAATTTTCAATCTCAGCGAGGTAAGTTGCACTTCTCATTTGATTCATACGTTTTATGTAATTTTCTGGTCACTCTTATTTCCCCCATTTGTAGATTTTTTTCGTACTTCTAATTTGCCACGTGAGTCGTCACTTGAGTTATTCAGGATTTGGTTCACTCGCGTTGTTTATCTAAGCGAGTCTCTCGTTCCGTTCGTCGATTTAATCAACAAAATTCACGGTCATCAGCGCGGTATTTGCCGAGCGAAAATTTGCCGCGCAATTTCGCAGTTCGGCGGTTCCGGAAAATTTGCGGTCCGGTTGATGATTGTAAATACGGTGGTGCATAATAGCCGGGTACCCGTCCAGTGAAATGCGCGGTCAGAATTTAGAATCGGGAACCTGGTTTGCCTCCCATCCCACCTTTCTGATTGGTGCGCTCATCTAACGGCACTTGGAGAACCAGCGCGTCGACTGCCAACAGTCGATCTCGCAGACGTCCGAGCGCTGTTCGAGGATCACCACGAACACGTTTTTTCGACGAGGATGTCGCGCAACGAACAACGGGCAGTCGTGGTTATTTGACAGTGTGCTTGGTGAGAATACCGTACTTATAAGATTTCGGTTGAGAAAAGCCGTATTAATCGCGGGATCGCCGTTGTCTTCTTCTGACTTGATGAACGACATAGTTTACGCGTGTGCATTCAAAACACATTCTCGACACGTGTATATCAATTTTGTCGCCGAATTCAAATTAACGTAAAACAAGTGTCGTCGAAGTAAGGAGGGGTGAATTGTCCGAATAAACAAGTCGTGTTTTTGTATTCCGCGCCTATGTTTTGCGTTCTGCGTTCCGCGTCTGACAGGTGAGTGAATGGGATTCACAGAACAGTTAACAATGTTATTATGCAGTGCATTAATTAGCTGATTGCACCGCGACGCGCGTCCCCTGGTGTTTGTTATGTCTCGCCGTAAAACGCAAATCGGTAAAGACGCGTGCTTTACAGGTTCAAAGTGTCTAGACGAAGAAAAAAAGGATGCAACCGCAGCGATTGTTGGTAATTCTAGGAGTCGTTTTGACAGCGTCGTTGCTGGTACGCTGTCAGTCCGCCGGCAAAGTTACGTTCCAGGATGTCGTTCCAGAAGGCCAAACAGAAAACCAAGGTACGATACTTTATATCCACGTATTACCTACGCGTACGGAGAGAATTTTACGGTAAAAATAGTTGCAGAATTTTATAGTTCAGAAATAGATCAACATTCCATGATAATTGAGTACTCCTTTATTTTATACGTGTTGTTTATATTTTAGAAATTAGAATGTCTATTTAAAAGATTTACTATGTTCCTTAGTAAGATAATTAGAATAATTGAAATAATTATATATATATATATATATATATATATATATATATATATATATAAAATTATTTCAATATATTTAGTTTAGAATAATTAGAATCGAAAAGTATTTATATATGAAGAAAATTATAACATATATTCTCTCTATATAAATTTTCTAGACGATAATTGGAACAATATATTTAAAAGATTTACTGTGCTTTTTAGTAAGATAATTAGAATAATTGAGATAATTATAATATATATATTTAGTTTAGAATAATTAGAATCGAAGAAAATTTATATATGAGCAAAACTATAATATCTTTTTTCTCTATGCATAAATTTTCTCTATACATACATTTTCTAGAAGATAATTTTTTTAATGTATTATATAATTTATTATTATATTATATATTATAATTAATTATATTATAGTTATATTTATAATTTAACGAGTGAAGATAAAAAACATCATTTTCAAGGAACAACGTAAAGTTTTCATGAACAATGCTAAAGTTACCAAGGGATTACAGAAAATATAAAATTACGAAAAATATAAAGTATAATAAAGTAGACGAGAAAAATTATTTATTTCTCTCGTTCTCATTTTGTCAGCCTTTGAAGAGTTTAATTTGTCGAGTGATGAAAGATACGTGACAAAGTTGCCTGATGAGAATATACGATTTCAGAGAATGCCGAAGAAGCTCCGTCGCAGCAGAGAGGATTCAATCCTGTCCAACACGTGGAAGATCTATTCGAGTATATCGGTTTCGGGACAGGTCGAAACACGGATCCTTATCTAGCGAGAATCAACGAGCGGTGTATAACCGGCGACTTGGCGGAATGCTTCAAGTCCCGCGCCTTGAATTACTTTTCAGACTTTTTCGACCATGCTGAGTATTCCTTGAGCGATTACGTGCGAGTCAAGCGGATGTCTCAGGACGTGGTGACGGAGGTGTATCGTCAGCCGTACGAGTATTCCAACGAGCCCAGGTATAACTTTGTTTTTGTAAAAGATACGCAGAAAATAGCCTATGTCTATGCGCAGTTGTGCACACACTTCTCCACGTGTAGGAGAAATCACGCGATTGAAAAGATTGTTAAAGATTTTTGTAAATTTCCGACAACGCTGGAGACAAGCGTTGCTCAAACTGATCGACGAGAATCATCTCTGAATCCAAAACAACTTTGTTTATGTATTCAACACAGGTCCGAGGAGTCGGAATGGGATAAAATGCTCAACTTCATGAAGAGGAAAACGGAGAGATTTATCAAAACAATGTCCTTCGAATTAACCATACCTACCTCGGAGACGGGTCGTAGTGGCGCTTATGAGCCCAGATTTTTGGACGAAATCGCCGATGAAATCAATACTCTTGAGAACAAGAAGGATACACTATTTTGTGAGTATCTACCTAAGATGACAGCGAGAAAAGTGCTCTTGAAAATTACTTAAAAATTTTTATACATTATTTTTTATACTAAGACATCTACCGATCTCATTACTTGTTTCTATTTCGCTTTGACAGAGCTAGATCTTTCGCGCGCAAAACTTAATTAAATTAAGTTGATCAAATAGTCAAGTGAAATTGAGTTTAATAACTAAACGAGCTTACTAAATAGAAATCAAACTTACTAAATAATTTTTTCTGTTCAATAACATTCGATATTATTACTCTACTTGCTAAGACGAGTACTACATTTGTTCCAGCCCGTCATAAGTTCAGGAAGCTCTTGATACCGATGCTGCTCGTGATTAAACTGTTCAAGCTGAAGCTGCTGCTCTTCTTGCCGCTGATTTTGGGCCTGGCTTCATTCAAAAAGTTCCTCGGATTCATGGCGATCGCTATACCCGGTCTGATAGGTTTCTTTAAGCTTTACAGGCCGCAAAATTATTATCCGCCAGTCTACACCAAGAACGGCATCGGTCACCTTCAATACGGAGTTCATCCGGATATCGATTATCATCATGATGATCGTTACGGAAGCGCGGACTCCTACGGTCAGGACTTGGCGTATCACGGATATCAGCATTACAAGTCGTAATGCGCTTATTTATTGCGTCATGTTCATGTTAGAAGGAGCAACGGCGGAATAGACAGTCATATTTTCGGATAGTCGCGAAAACCGCGTTCAAATATGACGCGCCGTTTTGTCGTTTCTTACGGATTGTTTTAAGCGCGCCTATTCGCGTTGCATCATTTGCATCTGATTGTGACTCGAGTATGTTGTACATATTCTTGAAGCGTGAATGTGCAAATTCTGACGTCGATTTTTTTTAATAAAAGACGCGACTCTCGCAGAGGAACTCGCTCTGATTACGTATATGTTATACGTATAGACGAGGAGTCCAGTTTATAGCTGCGTTTTATAGAAAAAGAGGAACGCCAAGGTCGGTGACGTTGAATGAAAATTCCATCGCACACGTTTATACATAGTAACAGACTGTTAGCGTTCTCTCCATCGTTTTCGCTCCACTTTTAACGCATTACGCATACGTGCGCTCGCGATTTTGCGAATCGATATACAGTGCGCGTCCGCGTGACACAACGATAATGCGGAACTGTCGGAATAAATCTCTTTGAACTGCGGTTTTTTCCAAGCGGGTCTGCGGACAGAGAAATATTGGACACGGAAGATATATGTCGCGCAACAATTTTTTAACGTTTAATTCGTGCAAACCGGAAATTCTGGAATGGGAACTAGGATATGGCGATTTCCACGGAGGAAGATTAGCCGTGATCAACGGTGTTTACAGCTCTTACACGACTCTTCACGCGCGTCATTGATCGTCATAATCGTTCGCGTATTAACGCATTTCATGTCATTACACGTCTTTGTTAATAATCAACCTCATTTAGATTAATTAGAGAGAGGGGAAGAGAGAAAGAGAAAGAAAGAAAGAAGAAGCTGTTTATGCTAATAAGCTGTTTATGCTAATAAGATTTTTTTATATGTTGTACAGGAATGTATGTAATTAAATTTCCCTGAAAAAGTATCTAAGAAGGAGTAAACATTATTTATTATTTATATTTATTTGCGGTACATATTTGAGATTATACTAATATATAAAATATATAAAATATATAAAATATTTTTCAAATATAAATATATATATTTCTCGGAACCTCCAAGAAAACTGAATTTCTCATGAGAGCAATTGTTTGTTTTATTTAAACAAAAGAACTTAGATTTATGAAAATATATGTTATTAGAACATTTCCACCAAAGAAATATTTATTATTTTTTAAATATTTTTTTCCTCAGCGTGGCATATCGCTATATATTATTTTTCTGGGAGGAAAATTAAGGATTTTCTTTTTTTCTTTTTTTTCTTAAGAGATTGCTCATAAGCACAGTTGTGACAAGTTAATTACAAGATTTGAGATAAGTTTGGACATCATAAACTTTGATTGGAATGTCAGGTTGTTGGATCTTTAATGACGCTTTAATGGCGATGAGGTAATCCGGAATTCGGAATCCGGAAAAGGATTATACGATGACGACAACGGTATGAGGAATGTAAATTTGCTGTCCAAGTCAATCACGAGGGTGGGGGAAGAGGCGTCGTCACTTGGAAATACCGATTGCATTCCTGATCACGTGACTTCCTGTAGATTCCTCACGATATCCACTTATTGTCACAGCATCTCTCCTAATGGCGTGAAAATGGTGAGCGAGCCTTACGCTGATTTTCTCTCTCTCTCTCTCTCTCTCTCTCTCTCTCTCTCTCTCTCTCTCTTGGGTGCGCAACGAGGAACTATCCTGTACGTGAACCGGTCCGATACGATTCTCACTCACGATCCGGAGAATCGAACGGAACGGACCCGTTGACCAAGTGGCCTCCTTTGCGGAGAAGACCGGAAACTACCGGCCGCCTCGCGGCGATACATGGAAAGCAACTCGACGGAAACTCGTGTTGCGTAGGTTGCATAGGTTCTGACCCTTCAGCCGCCACGTTGCGTTGCTTTAGTGATCGTTGACAAAGCAAAAACGCACTAAAACCGCGACGCATTGTCAAGACCTTAGTTATTTTTTATTAGACCATTTTATATAATTTTTTTTTTCATATAAATTATTTCTGATCAACTTCAAAAGCAAATATTCAGTAAGTAATCAAAAAGTACGAAATAAAAAAATTTTTGACAAAAATAAACCGCCTTCAGAAACCTCAAATGTTCTATCAGATGTGAAATAATTTTGAATTAATATTTCTACGTGCTATATTTTAATATTCTAACGATACTAAAAGTCGCTGCGAAAAAGATAAATTAAGTAGATAATTAACTTAGTATATAACTTCAGAAAGATAAAAAATATGTAAGATTATTTTGATTCAATTATTGATTTAATTAACTAGGTTCTCGCGTCTAATATCGTTAGAATATCGTTAGAATATTATAATTGTAGGCATTACATAGGAATATTGATTCCAAATTATTTCGTATTTTTTAGGACAGTTGACATTTTTGAAAGTGGATTTAGTTTTGTCAAGAAAATTTAACATAAATATTTTTTTCGTTTCATTCCCGTGAATTTTGTTAATTTTGAAATTTACTTAATTCTCGATAAAATCTTCCTGTTTCTTATCCTTTCCCGAGCAATATGAAAATATTGTCGTATAATATTTTCTTTTCACTATTGTTTTATTGTCGTCGATACTTTCATACTGTTCGGGAAAGGACGAGAAGTAGAAGAGTTCGTCAAAAGCACATAAGACGATTATTACTAACACTAGCAGAATTTAATTAAAGAATAGTTTTCTTGACCATAATTTATAATTATTTCTCCATGTGATGATAGTTACAAATACCAAACGTTTTTTTTTTTTTAGTATACGAAAGCGGATATTGTACGTACAGAGAAATTCTCCTCTCACTCTCCTGACAAATTTCCGTTCGCGCTGCCGATACCGCAGATACTTTAGGACGACAGTTTGAACATGATAACAAACGCAATTAATTTTTCTCTTTGCGAGTGACCGCAAGTGAAAGGAAATTCGAGCCGCGACGTTACAATTGCGACGCCCGTTTAACCGTCTTGCCGGCCGGAGAAAACGCAATAGGGCGTGCGAACTGGTGCGTTTATAATTACGTGAATTTTTTTCTCTCTTTCTTTCTCATTCTTCCCTTTCCTCCCTTTCCTTCTCTTCTCCTTCAAGAAGGCACACACACACATACATATCACTCGCCGAATTGCCGACGACACACCGACTCGTTCATGTCGAGCAGCCGGTGCAGCGAAAGCGACACACGATAAAGATGAGCCGTTCGACTTTTCGGCTTTTCTATACTTTCTATCAAATGACCGGAAGTCCCGGCGTGTCGGACGAACTCGCCAACTTTCCCGCGTCCTCCACGAATTTCATCCCGAGGGGCGTCAGCCCCTTTCTTCGAAATTCCCTCTTCGACTCGAACTCACCCCATTCATTTGGTTAATTACGCGTAATCACGCAGGCCGTCCTCTTTTCTCTTCTTTTCACGAAATCGCGCCTGTCTTTGCTCGCGACGCGCAACGCTGCTGAATTAATACCACGCATTATGAATGTGAGATCCAGGCGGTTGATTCGCGCTACGCTGCGCGCGTGCACGCATGCAAATTAACGCAATCAAGACGCGGTTCCGTCTATTTCTCTTCTTTACCGGGTTATCCGGCTTGCCGGCGCTCGCGCCGAGCGGACTATCGAATGTCCGGCTATTGTGAGATTTCACGAGTATCCAACCTCACAGAAGCCACCTCACGTGCGATTTTCGCGAGGATCAATCGCGCGGAATTCAGATCCGAGACGGATAAGAGTGGGCGCACTTCAATTTCACGATTTCTCTCGCGCCACATCTCGCAGGGTTTGGAGTGAGCGTCTTCAATGTAAAACGTGACGCGCTTTGATATCCCAGTACGATAAGCGCAATGAGGACCTTGGCCGCGTCACATCACACGGCCGCATCCTCATTCGACGGACCAAGACGCGCGCCCTCGTGTGCGCGCTCGTTATCCTGACAAAACGTCTGTCCGGAATTCAACGTAACGGTGCACCGAGTACGAAAACGCTCGTTTACTCGTTCCCGCGCAGGTTGAAGTCTCACGGATAGAGTGACCAACTCTTAATCAGTCAGTCTCGAGCGGAATGGTGAAAATATTGATTAAATTTTTCTCAATTTAATAATTGATTTGAACTAATATGTTTCAATTCAACTAATTAACTATTGATTACAGCAAAATCAACCATTACGTTGAATAAATTCGATATATATAGATAGATAAGTAAAGTGTTTGTTCATTATTAGGTCAACAGTAGAGATGTGCGAACTATTCAAATTCAAATCGAATCAAGTGAAATTCGATTCGATTCAAATTCGAATCCTTATGATTCGAATTCGAATAATTCGAAAATCTCGAGTCGAAAAAATTCGAATACGGATCAGGCATATTAACGAAGAACTATTGAAGACATCCAACCTTACGGGAATTAGCATAACTTGAAAAGTTTACTATACATTAAGATTTTCTACAAAAATATTAAAAAAAGATAATGGCTACTAGATAAACTCTTACCAACAACTGTCGGATCGATATGTGTCGTTGCGCAGGTTTTCAAGGTTAGAACTGTATTCCATATACGTTTACCGATTATATGTTATATATCTCTTACGTTAAAATGAAATGACTTCACATGATTCATGTTATCTCTTATACTGAAATCATTATTTTCATGTTGAATTCAATGATTATGTTAATTAAAAATTCTTTCAACGATTTGATTCGATTTGGATGAACTTTCATCGATTCGGTTCGATTTGACATTAAAAAAAAATGTCACATTTTTTAATTAGGTGTGCCAAGACTTGGCACACCATATTTCAAAATGTGACATTTTTTTGCAGTTCTGATACTCTCTTGAAAAGTTCTAGAGCTCTTTGCAACAATTTTCAATAGTTGCGGTCATTAAATA